TGCATGTTCGAGATACAGGTGATCACGGACGCACGGACGCACACAGGGCAAAACATAAGTCCCCGTTTTCGGACTGCGTCCGAACGGGGACTAAAAATTAAGCGTAATTGTGACTGATGAGGAAAGAAATATTTAAACTGATTGTATGTGACTGTCAGGAACTTTTGAAGGCACTAAACTGTTGAGGAACCATCATTGGTGCCTATGCCAAGTAACACAATCATCAACCACGGAACTAAAAAAAAGACACAGATTTTGTAGAAGTCTTCAGTAAAAATGGAATTATTAAAAATTAAGCATAATTGTGACTGATGAGGAAAGAAATATTTAAACTGATTGTATGTGACTGTCAGGAGCTTCTAAAAGCACTAAACTGTTGAGGCACCATCATTACCTTTTTTTAACTTCATGAATACAATGTGAATTTTTATTTTCCCAAATAACTAATTTCATAACAATAATAGTAATAGATGTTTGTTCAGGTATACTGTATTAACGTATGATTGTCTGTTGCATTATTGGAATGCAGGTGACAAGCATAGTTGGTAGTTGTGATTAAATATATCAGTCACTTATCAGATATTAACTGATGTGAAATATAAAATAGAATTAATCACAAGTCTCAAACAGTAACACATCTTATAATCAGTAGTTTTTCAAATGAGTCACCCGTTAAACTACTTCTTAATTTTTTACTTACCACATAGTCTCTAACTTCAGTGTCTGCGTTATTTTTTAACAGTGTCTTCACTGCTTTGGTGTGTCCGAAATGAGATGCTCTATGCAGCGCTGTATAACCCCACTGTAAAAAAAGAAAACAACTCTCAGTGTATCATAATGACTTTGGCAGGTGTTTAAAGCGGGAGGGTTGTCACCTGCGCAAACGACGATAACAACACACGCTAACAATGCAAAGGCTTATGGGTAAATGCTTGTTCGTAAACAATGACATGCTATGGCAATCTAATGCATGCGCATGTGATGACTCCCCCGCTTTAACTCTAAAACTCAAAGTTTTTGAAAATCAGAAAGAAGTGGTTTCTCTAGTTCTGATACCGGTATTAAGTTTCAGAAGTATTGGGGCAGCAATGTTAGCTAACTTAATTGCTCACTTATTTGCCAACCACTTTGGTTTTGACTTAAGAGGACAATCTACAATTTGAATATTATACCCTTCATTCTGTTACCATTAAATGCAAGTAATATTTTTAAAAAAACAGTATTTTGAATAAGTTTTTTAATGTGTGCAAAATTGTTTGCGGTGGTCAAATCTGCTTTGTCAAAACTAATTCACTGATAACTTTAGTAAGTAAACAACATCAATCACAGTACTTGACTTTTTCAAATTTTGACCTAAATTTTGGTGGAACTTTTTTCTCATCTTTAGGTACATTTCTTGTATTTTGTTGTTAATTAATTTTGAACCAAAATAGACATTATTTCCTGTTGCCCACAGGTTTTGATCAACAATTTTTTTTTTTAAATCTAGAAAAATGTCATATATATTTTCCAAAAATAAAGCAAATTTAGGAAATGCATATCCCCAGATGAGTATTCACACTAAATATGTCAAACTACAATTTCAAAACCACAATTTCCACATCCCACTGATACCAAACTAGATAAAACAGTGAATATAAAGTGAATATAATGTATTTTGGTGAAGAAGGAATCAGGAATGTCATACTTGTGGTGTCTTGACATCGACATCAGCGCCATTATCTATTAACACATTAATGACATCACCATCACCTCTCTCAGCAGCTTTATGGAGCGGAGTCTGCTTGTCACTCTGAATAAATAAACAAGATTTAGGTCAGAATTTTTACCATTAAATTATCATTGTTTGAATTTGTTGATTTGATGGCATTCATGAAGACAACATTTCACAACACTCACTCACACTCCATGTTGTAGAAATAATTTCACTGCTAAAAAATCTTATTTTCTAAATAATATATTTTTTATAACTATTTTTTTTATGTAATGCGCTGTATAAGAATTTAAAAAAATAATAATATTATGTGGCCGCGTACTGTCTCAGTGCATATTTTAGTATCATAGTATCCTCGTTATTATACATCTTTTTCCTACAAGGATACATCATTTTTGACGAAATACAAAAAGTTTATACCAGAATCAGCGAACTTTTTTGTTTAGAGTCCAATCAAACCCTAGTGGTAGCCATGTTTGTTTTTATTATTAGAGGACGCTTACGTGCGTAATCATTCCATATTTGGAATACGTATTTCCTTATACCACAAAATTATGGCACGCTGTAACTTATAGTGTTACGGTGACAGATGTACCAGGGTATAATAATAAGGTTACTACGAGAATATCTCAAAGTAAGTATCGAGTGAAGTGGAACGGAGGTTGATGCGCAGCGTACTGTCTGAGTGCATACTTTGACGTATTCTCGTAACAACCTATTATTATACATCATTATACATACTTCCAAGGATACACCATGGGAATGCCGAAATCCAAAATGTTTAGAACAGAATCAGCGAATTAGAAGACGCTTACACGCGTAATCATTCCAAAATTTGAATTCGCACTTCCTAATATGTTAAGATGAAAATACACCATAAAATACCGCAAAATTATGGAACGCTGTAACTTATGGCGTTATAGTGACAGATGTATAATAATAAAGATTATCACAATCATACATACATGTATGCACGTAATCATTCCATATTTGGAATTCATTCGCATTTCCTTATACCGCAAACTTGTGGCACACTGTCACTTATGGCGTTACGATGACAGATGTATAATAATATGAGGTTATTATGAGAATACTGCAAAGGATGCACAAAGGAAGTACAGTGATATCTCATAAACTGACATGCAGCGGTGGTTGATGCTTTTCTGTACTGCACTGTATACTTTACTGTATTTTCATGATAACATTATTATTACACATCTTTTCTCTGCTTGTAGTAATAATTTAATGAGAGATAAGAGCTGAATATGGCAATGAAGAAATTTTTTGCACTGTGGGAATGTTTGCGTTCAGCACCAGAATCATATTCCCCTCCTGCCACTGATAATGCTTCTGAGTCTGAAGTAAACAAAGAAAATGTTTGATTGTGACAGAAACATGGCACATATAATTTCCAAATATGGAAGTCATTTGAATGTATTCAGCTAAATTCAATTGTTTTCAGTGTTTCATGCAAAGTATGCACTCAGACAGTATACAGCCACACTGACCTCAGTTACACATCAGTCGGTACTCCCACTGTCTTCATGTATACTTTGCAAAATCCGTGCAATAACCAAATATACTACAAGTATATAGGTGGAAATCAACCTAATTTAATTAATCCAGCTTCTTACGTCATTTGTATTTTCATAATCCACTTCTAGCATAACATTGACACCATCTTTTAAGCCTGAACTGAATTGTTTGACTTGATGAACGTCTCCACTTGAAGTTGCTTCATGTAATTTCTGCCAAGAGAAAAAATAAAGTTTATTAATGAAATAAATCCATTGCATTAGATTAATACTTAAACATTGCATTCCCATTGGTATCATATAAAGAATCTGAACTTTGAAAAATCAATTGGTTTGGCCAATCCTAAAATATTGGAGCATTAAAGCTAGCCTGCACTTAATATAGAGTTAATTTGTCATTGTTGCAATCACTCAAAGCTCATTTGATGCATTTTAGGCATCTCTTCTAAATTTCATTTCAGGATTCTGTTGGATAAGAGTTTTACAATGCTTATAAGATCAGTGAAATGTTTTCTACAGAATATACTTATAGTGGGAAGTAGAAGAGCAAGTACTAACTCCATGGCAAGTAGGCAATAATGGGATCCAAGAAGGATGCACAGGCTTCAAATAAAAGGAAGAAATAGTGGGATTGCAACTTTAATAAATGACAGTAAACTTTAAGATGATCCTATCAGTGTTTTTTGTTATCATAATGCATCAAATATTTAGATGTGATCTTGCATGAATTAAAGAATTAATTCTTGTCACATCAAAACAAATGTACAATTCGGTGAAACAACTGATTATTATTCAACTTGCAATTAAATATGTGAATTTGAATATATATGTTGATAATCTTCATCATGAATTTTCCAGCTGAATGTTCCAACAAAGCACTCCACTGTCACATTGAAGTATTTAACTAGGACTAAGTGCATGTGTACAAATGTATGTGACAGTGCCCTCACAGTTAAGAATCAGTTTATCAACAGCCAATCTGATTGCTTCATGTACTTGGCAAAGCAAGGATGTTGAAGCAATACAGCGGCGATATCAAGACAAATCAGATGTTCAAGTATCCGTGTGATGAATGAACATGTGTTGCGGACCAATTAGCGATTGACACAATTAGCCATGTGATGGCAGGGTTTTTAAAGACTGAGACAGCGTGGTGCTCGGTTGTTGCTGCTGGAGATCTTGACTAACATCTACGCTTTGTACGACCCTGGAAGCGGCGAGCAGTACCACCACATACTACCATAGTCGAACCCGGCGTTGAACACCAGTCTGAAGTCTAACTGGGAAGGAAGCCTTGGCGCTGTGGACGAGAAGGGAGAGTTCAAGTCGCTAACTACCATCGCTGGCTTCTTATAATTCACCAGGCGACGCAGCTGACTGACACTTTTCGACACATTCCTACACACCCACTAGTTAGTCTTGGGCTTTAAGTTATTATATTACCTTGTTAATTACTAGAGTTGTTATTTTCCTGGCCAGTTTATTTATGTAACATTTTAAGAGTGCATGACACTGATAAACGTGACTAGTAGGGTACGCCGTTCCTTCCCTGGTCGTAGGGTAGTTACCGACTTTGCCGTGGTGTCTACAGTGCGAAATATCGTAACCCCCACCTCTTACCAACAACATAGTTGCGTTGGTGCGTGGTGAGGGCCGCGTGTTGTGCTGTATCTCTGCAAGAGCGGGCGATACTGACGGAGAGACTGTAGCAAGTATATGTTTTGTGTACCTAATAAACTATGGTTTCACATAATTCATGTGTAGTGTCGTATGTGTAAGACTGGCTGGTGTGCATTATTGCTGCTTATATGTGCATATAGTCATATTGAACTCCACTGGAGCCCATCAGTCTAAATTATACTTGTGTTACACGAATTGTGTAATTTTATATTGGTTAAGAACCCGCACACGAGATAGTAAACGTATTGCATACTATTTGGTATTTTGGCTAATATTTGACCCAGTGACCCATTTCACCATACATGGTAATAAAAATTGCATAATTTATAAATCCTCGCAAACATATATTCGATAGTATGAAATATGCTGTTTAAACCTCTACATAAAACTAAAATTAATGGGCTACAAAGTAATGGGCTACAACTATTTTTTGTGGTTTTGAAATGATGGTTTCAATGTCAAGTTTTGTCACACTTCATGAAATATAGTATAGAGTATTTTTTGTCAAGGTACATGCTTATACTTACCATGACCTTGTTGGCTGAATCCAGCATTTTAATGACTTGCGCTCTAGTGGATTTGGATTTATATTGGTTAGACTCCCTGGCAGTGTCCTGAGGTGTTCTTGCATACTGAAGTGAAAGAAAACAAAGCATTGTGGGAAACAAATTTCAAGTGAATGCAATGAAAAAATATTATCTCATTTGATAAATTTAAATCATTTTGTGAGATCTTCTGTGATTAGGTTGATAAATGAGTGTGTCACAGATCATTTTCTATATTCTAAATTCTAAAAGTTTACGCCGTGACCTTCAATTAATTTGAAAAATCTATGAATAATAAACAAGTCTGGAGGGATTTGGGCGGGCCTTAAAGTACGAGTCAGTCTGAAAATTCCCATGGTAATACACTGAAGTCATGGAGACAGCCAATCAGTGATGAAGGGCACGGTACTCTGAATCTTTGGATTCTAAACGATAAATAATCACACTATCATTGTTGTCCGAGTATAAACCCCTGCTCGAGTATAACCCCCCTCCAAATTTACAGCATTTTACAAGTCATTTATCCGATTATAACACGTTGGTATCATCCAGCAATTTGATTGGTTAATTAGCGATTTGACCTATTAGGTCAACTCTGCAAGAGAAAGAACATGGTAGATATCCGACAGCATTGAGCGTTTATATGCAACCGGAATCATTTGCCTATGATGAAACTAAGTTGAATTTTATTTGCATTTCATAATAATTCAACGAATTTATTTTTTGTACGCTATTATAATCACTACCGAGTATTAATCAACAATTGTGAAATGCAACATGACCGGATTGCGCAACCGTGATCTTTTGCTGCTACGCAATACAGTTATGTTAGTTTTTATTTGAAACTTTGTTTAGAATATATTTTCGATACCCCAAAATGTACAGACCAATATTCATGTGAAACGCAGGGTCGAATGCTGTCCCACTTAGTAAACGCACCCACGAGTGATTAGTGACCCCGGGGCGTAACGGCCGATCCTCAAGTTAATTTGGACGATACTAGTTGATGAAGACACTCATGTACACACGACATTTTTTTTATGAATAAGTTAGCATTAAGTATCGTTCGAGAGAAGTTTTAACTTTTATCCGTTTATAACCCCCCCCCCCCCAATATTTCGTCAATTTGCCATTTTACGGGGGTGTGTGTACTCGGACAACTACGGTAGTTATATAACAGCACATGTTGTTACTTGGGAAGGAAAGCGTTGTTTATCATGTGATTTTGAATGTTCTAAACCTGCTAAATGTGAGGTCTCATTAGAAGCTCATCATATCATATCATGTGACTTAATATCATATCATGTGGGAATTAATTTTCGCTGGAATGACTTTCTATGTGTGTTATATGGAATTTATTTTCACTGATTTTTGGCGAGTTGAATGTAATATATATTCGCTGGATTTCATTCTCACTCAATCACTCAATCATTCCTTTAGCGAAAAAAGCGAAAATCAATTCCAAGCGAAAATAAAGTATTCCACAGTATTTTACTCTAAAACAACTTACAAATGTATTTAATACACATTGGTATATAGAAGTATGCACATTAAGTTGGAAGGGGGTGGGCATTTTCAAAGTCATTGCTGAATAATTTTGGTCCAAAACTTGCAGTTACAGTACCCAATGAACACAAAATTAAAACTTGAAAGAGTCAATAACTATATTCAAGTGCTGATATAAGCCACAACTGACCTTGTTTGTGACTGTGAGATCGGCTTGTTCTGATATCAGTAGGTGTACAATGTCTGGATGACCAAACCATGCAGCAACATGTAATGCTGTGTTACCACTCTGAAATATAATAAAATATAGTGAAACCAATACAAAAATTACTGAGCACCTTTATGTTGGTAAAAACAACAACTGAGCACCCCTATGTTGGTGAAATTTAAGTTACCTTGTTCTTAGCATTAATATCAGCACCATATTGCAATAGTAATTCAGCCGCATCTACATCACCGCTACTAGCTGCAGCATGAAGTGGAGTGGCTCGAACCTACAAGTATTTAAAACAGTTTGATTATGTGATAAAAATGTGTGTCTAAAAATATTTCATTGGCAATAAATCAGACACGTATTTGTTACAACAGGTGAAACTTCAAAAATTTAATTGAAATACAGAACAAAAAAAAAATACAGAACAACAAAAAGTCAATGTACCATCACTCAGAATATGCTCTGAACGCATCCCAAACAAGTGACATGGCAGTCAAAATATTTCTACTGTTCTACATTGCTGTAGCCAAGTTGAGCAACGCACACCCATAAAAGAAAAAGCGGGTAACTCACAAAAATGTAGTTTGTGTGTAATGTAACTTCATCAAACAAATTGTTCCCAAAAATAATGCACACCTCAAATATCAAAGCAGTCGAGTTGGTGGTGCTCAAAAAGACAAAATATTCAATTATCAAAATATACCATTGGAGATATTGTCATGAAATGAACAAATGTGACAGAGGTCCACCCAAGGTCAATACATACCAAATATCTATAACTATTTAAGCCAGGTGAAAAACATGGATTTCCAGTTGAAAAAGTAAATTTTCAGAGAAAATGGACTGAAATAGAGATGGTACATGTGTGTTTCACAGTGTAAATATATGACCGTGACATAGTTTTTCAACTCCCAAATTATGAAAATATTACGCTATAGCCAAAGATAATTCGGTGTACTGCGACTGTGCGTTTCAAACGTTCAAAATATGTACTACCTTCTGGCTTGTTGGCTCCAGGTCAAGCAATATGCGCCAATGCATGATGAACGCGCAAATGCTATCAATTCGGGAACTGGGAATTGAAGAAATTGTCCCAAAATGAAGAAATCTGACAAATCTGTATCAAAGCAATTGAGCTGGTAGTTCTCAAGAAGAAGTCAAAAAGGCAATTGTTGATGGACAACGGACGACAAACGAACGACAACGGACAATCACCTACATGAACAGCTAAAAAATAAAAAAATTAACTCACCTCAGAGTCCCTTGCAATTACATTGGCACCCTTATCAATCAACAACTCAATGACTTTACAATGACCTCGTGCAGCTGCCAAATGAAGAGAAGTCTGTCCTTGCTGAAAAAAAATGCACCAACAAAACTTTGATGATAATCATTGGTTACAAGTACAAAAAGTATACATCAGACTGTTTTCCCATAATGCATTGCTGTATGCTACAGTGGAGTAGAGAATCACCCAACTAAATTTTGAATATTTTTAGTTGACCTTTAATTAATGATTGGAAAGTAATAACTAACAGCCTTTCTCAACGCTAAAATGCTAATTTTTTGACCATTAAAGGTCACACTGATACAGTTTCACATTTGCCAAGAATTGATTGAATAGCAAGATTGATCACCAGCACTTCAGTATAAACTGAAATAAAAGCTGAAGTTTATTATTGTATATTTCCTACAATTTGTGCATATTCAGAATATCCCATAATAATCCCTCAACCTCATTACAACTCTATGAATGCACTCAGAGTTCAACTTTAAGAAAATTAAGCAGAGCCAAGGAAAACTGATAAGCTGGCAACCATAACAACTATTAAATTGTTTTTGTTATGATCAAATAATGAACAGAATAAATTTCCTTCCACATAGTGCACAGCAATCACATGGAAACAAGTCTCATATACTGAATAATAAGAAACAAAAACAAATATTGCAATAATGATGTACACTACACCAAAACAAATAATAACACATATTTACCATTAACAGACTATACATGCATGTTGACATTTACAATAAAATGTATTACCAGTTTGTTGGCATATGAATTATCACACATTTTATACACACAAAAGCTAATATTACAATAATATTCAATCCCAGCATGCATTTTGTTTTACTGCAGCAGCAGCAGCTATTATTAATATTGTGCAAATTTCATTTTAACATGCATAGGTTAAAGTCTACCAATTTAATGTGAAGCCACACACGCGCATCATGTGAAGCCACACACGCGCATCATGTGAAGCCACACACGCGCGCGCGTATCATGAGAAGCCACACACGCGCGTATCATGAGAAGCCACACACGCGTATCATGAGAAGTCCATGCATACCTAATTTCTAAGGGCAATTAACACCTGACTTTTGCCTAAATCCTATCAAATCCATAAAATGGTCTCAAGACTAAACAATATATTGCAAGTAAACTGTTGAACCTTTGACAAAATAATAAGTTAATTACTTTAACATAAATTTTAATCAAGATTTTATATGTCCATTAGATCCAAAATTAACAACGAAATTATGGAAAAAACACATGAAATTGTGCAAAATATTTGTGGGAAAGTTTATAGTATTCAAAGATAGCGATTATTTTATATTTTTTTCAAAATTTTGTGATTTATTCCATTCAACATTGCAGATTAACCATGTTTGTTTTGATGTTGATAAATTATAGGGATACATATACATGTACAATGTATATATATCATCATAGACCCTTTGTTGAGGGTCTATGATATCATAGACCAGATTTGAGAACAACAAAATCAACTTTTCATCTGCAGTGTTTTTAGTCTCAATTAATGCTGTTTTGAGGAAGACATTAATGTGTAAGCTCTAATAATGACTTTACATGAAAGTTTAAATATTGCATCTATCATAATACAATAAATACAATGTTTGTGGTAGACAATAGATAAGAAAGAGTACATGTTAGCTCCAGTTCTGTACATCTTGGTTTCAATTGATCCCAGTCCATTTTTGTTATCGTCCACCCATTATTATCATTAGTCATGGCCAGAAATAAGACAATTTATGAATCAGTTCAGGCATGATTAGCAAGCTTTCTACAATTGATGGTTTAGCAAAACTAATTTTTCACACACGTCATTTGAGTAGGATGCTCTAAAATGATTGATTACTGAACCAAAAATGGTGATAATTGCGCCTATACTGTTAGTTTAAGTGAGATGGTTGCTATCTTGAATATGGTATTATTATATTACATATCTTTTCACTGTTTTGTGTTTTGGGGGAAGATAATCAATCCATTTGGGATATCTCCTCCTCATTAGGTACAATGTACATGATGAATTAATGTTTGAACCCATCAACTGTAGAAAAGTTACTAGTTGAGGCTAATCAGAACAATAAATAGCCATCTATCCGAAACAAGTTTTAGATAGCACGGTAACAGTATTGTTATGGTATAGTCTTGTATTGTAGTTCTATGGTTTTGTGAAATAACCTTCTCAGCACTGAAACCGAGTTACAGTGAAACAGAACTTCTTTAATAACCACACATGGTGATCAATCTAGTTGGATCCCATTAAAAATTAAAATGCTTGTGTTAATCATATCTGTTTGGACCAATAGCATACGTGCAGTTAATAGAATGTGAAAAAACAGATTAGTTTATTCTAATGTGTTTGTTGTGACTTCTTGTGATCAATGAAATCTTCATCTCATATGTCACAATAGTTACAAGCTCTTATTTTTAATCTACCCTTGATTCCATGCAAGATTATAAAAACATGCATTTATTTATTTTTACAATAAATTACTTTTTTAATTTACAATGTACCACAGCTCAATATAAACATGCATAACACAGAAAGCACGAAAACAAACAATTTAAAAACTTTTTTCGATTAATATTCATACATTATGCTAAAAAAAATACATGTTTCTAATCTGCTTTAATATTAACATGCATGTGTGTTTTGTTTCAATTAATTGTTTTATTAGCCATTAGTACAGTGCTTTTATTTTGATTTTCTATGAAAATTGAATTTATCTTTTCAAGTTCTGACAAAATAACCTAAAAAAACCTGTGACAGGCACAGTTTTATACACATATGCATGCAGTGATCAGAAACATGAATGTTTCTTTCTCTGCCTTATACTATAATCGTGCAAATAAAGTGAGTATAATATATATGTGAGAAAGCACAGCATAGCAGTGAAGGATTGTGGGTATTTTAATCCTTTGAGTTCCAATTTTTTTTCGGCTTAAATTTGCTCACATTTTCTGTAATTTTCACTGAATTCAATCTAAATTTTGAACCTAACAAACAAAATGAGACATTACTTCTAGTTTTGATAAAAAAATTGAAATCTACATAACATTTCTTGTGGAAAATAGCAGATTATAAATATATATTGCCTGAAGCTGGCTTTGGTGCTCAAAGGGCTAAGGAATTATGGGTATTGGAAGGGAAATGGGAAATTACCTTGCTATCGCAAGCAGTGACGCTAGCACCATGTTTTAACAGTGTTCTGACTGTTTTATGGTGACCATACTGAGCAGACCATAGCAGTGGAGTAAAGAAATACTGTGCGAATAAAGAATAGTATCACATGACTAGGATTGGCCAATAGGAGTGGTAACTTGCATGGTGAATTGTTGACCTGATTAAAATCGGGTGTAGATACAGATTCTGGTTATATTTTAAACATTTTCACTGGTGTACATGTACGTCTACCTTATATAGTATAGTATGTATAGTATGCCAAAGTTTATAACAAGTTAATTCCTAGTTCCTTCACGCCATTGTGTTCAAGAGAAGACCTCCTTTTTTTGGCAGCGTTCATCTGAATTTTAGCTTGAGGAAATATTTTTATATATATATAATAAATAAATGAATAAATGAATGAATGAATGAATGAATGAATGAATAAATGAATAAATGAATAAATGAATAAATAAATAAATAAATAAATGCTCACGTCTATGAGATTGATGACAGTATTTTGTCATATCCAAAAGCACTGCATGATGGGACATTTAAAAAAGGTATATCATATTTAAGGTAAAAGACGACATATAAATGAAAATACCCAGAATTTATCTACCGTATTTTGTATTTTGTACCAATAAAGAATGTTGATATAAGAAAAGTTTGGAGTCACAAGCTTTTTTTTTTGTGATTGTTTTTTTTGTGAATGATAGCTGTTTTGTCATTAGAGCACTTTTATGTTTAGTTTCTATGGCAGAGATATTATGCCATTTTTCAAATGGTAGGATGGCGACTTAAATTATACAAAAAAATGAAATAAATTATCAAAATGTTAAAGAATGTTAAATGTTATCATGAATTGTAGATACAAAATCTGGGTAGTAAAAAAACAAAAACATTTAGTTGTTTTAACATTGTACTCTCAAAATTTTAATTTTTTAATAATATTTGACCAATGTTCTCAAACACACACAAGAAAACATGTAACTATATATAGCTCCATGATTGTACATAATAAACCAATGAATATTGCTGCGAGTTACTCAATTGAGTGGGGAAAAAGAAACAATTTACAATTGGTGAAATTAGATAAAATGTCTAACTAATGACTGATCATTACCTTGGTGTCTCGTCCTTCCAGTGAAGCACCATGCAAAAGAAGGTATTCAACAACATCGCTGTGTCCATTGATAGCCGCTTCATGAACTGGCATCAAACCGTGCTAAATTAGGAAAATATGACGAAAAAAAAATAAGATTCAACTGCGAGGGCAATGTTTTACATTTTAATATGAATCATAAGTAATATGCAAAGAATTAATAATTATGATTAAAATGTACTACAAACAAAAAGTGAAATATGTCTTTAACTTACACGCCATATTTACAAATTTCACTATAAACTTATATATGCACAACCAAACATTGCCAATAAACAAATGCAAATTTAATGACGTCAAATAAAATGAATCAAGCGTTACCAGAAACTCCACCTACAATATTCTATAAAAAAAAATTATTTCATACAAATTTATTATAAAGGTTATAATTATTTAATTAATATATATTGAAAATTCAACTTATAAATATTATTTTTATCCATCATTTTTCATATACCGGGTACTATGATTATATAGCCTAAGCTCCTTTAATAGCAAAAAGAAAATAATTAGACAAGCCTGCCTATCTTCCCACTATTTTAAACCAGTTATTGAACACATCAAATTTGTTTAATTTTGCCTGAATACGTACATGTATTTACCAAAATGAACAGATTTTATTCATTTCGTGAATATTATAGAAATTTCACATCAAATTTATATTTTTGTGTAAAGAAAACTTTTTTACTTTTTATCAGAAATGTTTCATGGTTTTCGGTATATAACAACTACATGTAAAGAAATGGTACACTTTTTTTTAATGGCTTGACTTTAACCGAAGTAATATTATGTATGACAATGACTGTATGACATGCATGGCCAATTTACGACACTTTCACTCTTGAGGTAAATACTCATACTCATGAAGACCAATTTGTTTGTTAGGTTTTGAAAGAAATAAAAATACGCTATAAAGAAAAAGCAACAATGACATGTTGTTCGTCACTACTATTGTTCTCATGTAGGACTTAACTGTATAGACTGAACTAAGATTTGTTTCATATATTGGCTTTTTTTAACTTTTGTTCAATGCTATTCATTTTTTTTTTTTCGCTGTAACAAATTATATATTATGATTTTTGCGATTTTTGGATTTTTGGAATTGAATTAAAAAAATTTTAAAATATGACTTAAATAAGAAAACAATCCAAAAAAGAAACAATTAAAGAATAAAATGAAAAAAAAAGCCACCTAAACTTTGATTTTAAACAGATTGCTTGCAAAAGGGATTTAAAAAAAAAAATCTTCTATTATAAATTGAAGCACTGATAATTCACCTCAGCGAATGTCACTATGCTTTCAATATCTTACAAAAAAGACCTCACATTGTCACAATGTGTTATATGTGGAATGAATCCAGGTGCAATTGTTTGTTGTTGGGGAGACTCTTTGTTATAAATACAACAAAGCTTTTGAATTGTCAGAGCTGCCGAACAATGCAGTATATGTCAAAGGTTTACTAAAGTGCATGTTTTCATAACAAAAAGATTTACAACGACAATACTTGTGAAAAGTTAGGGATGAATACAATAAAAAAACGTCGCATTTTATAATTACGGTGGCAGGAATTTAACTTGACAATATAGCTACGTGCAGTTTATAGCGATTCGTAAACTGTATTTAAATTCAGGAAAAATTATTTCTGAGCGTAATATGTATTTATTTTGATAATAAAGTACACATGAAGGCAGTAAGGTGATAATGTGTATTAACACAGAACTTATGATGTCTGGTCTAGAAATGACCATTGATTTGAACTTCAACTTTGTACAATATTGTTTCTCACATGTACATCAAAGAGTGTGAAAGATATCCATAACATCTAAGTGATTAAAATCCCCCTCCAACTTTCCTGACTAAGTAGTAAAAATCTGAAAATGACTGATGTTTGGATATCTTGAAGTCAGTTTGTGCATCTGCATGAATGGGTCCCAAGTTTTTATTTTCAAATCTCTGTTATTCTTTCCATAGTGGGTGAATTCTGTGTGCAGTTTCGTGTTCTGAGCAGTGTGCATGTTTATTGTCTAAAAGAATTATTTATTTATTCATGATGTGCACTTTTTGAACAAATTTGTGTTTGTTTCCAAACCGGTCTATCGACCAACAATTAAGAGCTAGAGGTTGATGTGATCTTGTACTGCCTGAAGGTATGCTTTGATGTATTCTCGTAATAACCTTTGCAGCATACTTTGCAGTATCCTCGTAATAACCTCATATTATTACAATTTTCTTTCTGCTTGCATAACAATAATTGAATGAAAGATATTATCAGCAACAAATATTTTATCAGAGCAACTGTTTGGGTTAAATTGAATTATATATATTGTTTTATGCTAGAATACACAAGATACATGTAAACCCTGATAATATTCTGCCTGCTTGTTGCTATGGCAACACATCAGTGACCATGCCATAGAAAAGTGTTAATTCTCCCCAGAATGTGGTGCTAACAAATGTCATACTAATACTCTAAAATACTTGGACAACATGCACTTGTTGTGTTATTAGCTAGACCAGTCTGGCAGTAAAAGCAAGCACTGTGACGATATCATGTATATTGTACCACAATGTCTTGCCAGTAAAGTTATTTATGCAAAGTCTTTCCAGCATGTTCAAACATTAATTCTAGTGTTTGTGTTTTTTTTAGCATTGTGAATTATCATTAACTGAAAGCTTGGTCACCATAAAAAAAATTGTCAGATTTCACTGAAATTTATCATGTAGTTTTTAGTGCAACAAACCTCCAGTCAGAGACGCTGAATTTATTTGGACAAATTATAATAATGTTTGAGAATTTCCATCACTGCATGACTTTAATCCAAATCCCTGAAACAGCAGTCAATATGTCACTATGAGTATATAAGGGGGATTTAGATATAGGGTAATTGTATGCAATTTATGTATCGAAACATGGAGTCCACAGCAACAGAGCATATACTGTTCTTACATTCCATAATCACTATGACTGGGGCGATACAATTTCAAAAGAACTGTCAGTGCATAAGTAAATAAAATCATGTTATATTTTGCTTGAATGCCCCGAGGGGCAAAGTTTGTAACTTAGAAACTGAGAGTTGGTACTCTGAAATACTGTAAAATATTGTAAAATACTGTAAAATACTTGTATTTTAGCTGGAATTAATTTTAGCTGAAAAGACTTTTTGAGTGTTTTGTATGGAATTTATTTTCACTGATTTTTAACAAGTTGAATGTAAAGTATAGGAAAAAAAGTATATTCACTGGATTTTATTTTTACTGAATCATTCCTTCAGCAAAAATAGCAAAACAAATTCCAAGCGAAAATAAAGTAAAACTGAAATTATTTTTCTGTCCCAAAGCTACTGAAATAAGATTATTTCTTACCTCTGTTGTCTGTGCATTGATATCGGCTCCACTTTCCAACAATAGCTTCACTATTGATAAGTCACCCTGGCTAGCTGCCCAGTGAAGTGGTGTACACTGATCATAACCCTGAAACATTGAGAAAATTATAATAGTAAACATGATTTTTGAAAACAGACACAATAAATATGTTTGTTTAACTCTGTGACATATAAATGTACAGTGAGAAAAATACTGTAAAATACATTATTTTAGCTGGAATTAATTTTTGCTAAGAAGATGTTTTATGTGGAGTTTTCACTGGTTTTTGATGAATTAAATGTAAAATATAGAAAAAAAAGTTGTATTCGCTGGATTTTATTTTCACTGAATCATCCCTTCAGTGAAAATAACAAAAATAAATTCCAAAAGATAATAAATAAATATATTTTATAGTATAATGCTAAATCCTTGTTTGAAGATTGTGTTAATAATTTACAAAACTAATCCAATTGCCATTGTTAAATTAAAAACTACAATCCACAAATATGAAGTCAATGGCATTCTGTCTATTCTATCCTCTCGACGCATGCATCTTTTTTAATGCTGTCTATTTCTCTATTTGACATCAAATTTTCACCCAATATGTTTGTAACATTCAAGTTCAAGTTCTACTTACATTTTCAGCAGTGACAGACATATTAGCATGCTTAGCAATCAACTTGTGTACTTTCTCTGTATCCTTGGATACGGCTGCTTGCCATAGCGCCTGCCAATAAAAATGAAAGTGTTGTTTATCATTCAACAACAAAACAACAGATAAACCTTGCAGTGTTTGAAGCTATTTTAAAGCTGCAAATATAAGGACTATTTAAATGGTGGAGTTTTTTTAAAACATATCTGCACCTGGTAACTGCAGTTCCAAACTTTGAATGTCACTGTTACTGACTCCTTTACATTGCAAGCATATTCAGTGCTCACAGTACATACATTTCACAACAGAAACTACCGGTATATTGTGACTGACCATCTTTCTTACAACCAGTGACTTTCCTGTAATATTCTATTAAATTTGTGAATTGTTTAAATTTTGCAATTCCATCAAAATTTGTTGAAAAACACCAGTAGGTATTTCTTCATTTAATACTGGTATTATTTTTGCAGGGGCTTTTATGATATAAAAGCTCATCACAACTCTCACCTCTGAAAAATTGTTGTCACTTCTTCGTTTCTGCTTTCTTGAACTCATAATGGTAACAGCACAAACTGATTGTGAGTTTAATAAATTTATTCACACAATCTGAGGGGAAGAGATTATTGATAATGTAAATTAATCATAATAATTGTCAATATTTATATCCAAAACAATATACATTTTTTCTTTGATTTTAATGTATTGACCAGTAAATGTAGCCCTATCCTAAAATGGGAATGAATGAAAATTACACAAAATGTCATATCACCAGTAGATCAACCACCACCCTACTTCAGCCTTTCTTGAGTTCCATATTTTCCGTTGTATACCGTCCAAAACTTCACCAAGGCTTTTATTCCTACAGCGTATATATGTTGGCCTGGAGCTCTGACTGAAGCCAATTCACATGGCTGGTTTTTGACCTCATACTTGCCCCACATTTATCACCCCAAAGGTGTGGAGCGTACACATTATGGTGTACAATTTTTGAATAACGATCAAAGCAAATTTGGCATTGAGCTGATTTCTCCAGAAAAACAAAGTAATATTAATATCAAACATTAACCTTTTCACCACCAGTTCCCTTTTTTCGTCACAAAATAGTCCAGTTTACAAAATGTATATATTACTAGTATATACTTTCCTTCAGAAGATTGAAACAAAAATAGTCAAATATTTTTTAATAAAAACTAAAATTTGTTGGCTCCAAATTTAAAGTTTATTTCCAGAAATATTGATGAATATAAGAAACAAGTGCAGAAAAATGTTGGCACAAAAGTCTGGTGGTGAAAAAGTTACCGGTACAGCACACAAGTTTGTAAATGATGATATGGTCATTCACTTCAAAGTTGTGCTTAGATGGGACACTGTTTATACACATGTCCGAACTTTCTTATTTTTAATATTGCTGTATATGCATTATTTATGCCTTATTTTAAAGAACTCACTGAATAAAATATTAAAATGCAGCTGACTCTACCCCCCCCACCAGTTACATGTGTTAGCCCTTCGAGGTAATATTTTGCTCAACGCTCAATACCTACGACAATAAATTCTTTGTCTGATTCGCTCATCGCTTACTACTCACTATTTACCTAGTCATGGACTGTTGGTCTAAAGTAAGTTTCGATTATCGTCATGCACCTGTTTCTCATTTTTGATTACTATCGGCTAGTTCCCCTATAATCAACTGCCAGACTCCACAAAAAGGCACTTGTTTTCAGAGAACCTCAGGCAAGGTAGGTGTAACCTGGCGATCTCATACACAGTACTGTGCTAGCCCGGTCATGCAACACTGAATGTGCGCGTCGAATATTCAGCAGGGTGACGATGTGCACGTTTACAAGTGAAGCGAAATGGCTCCGTATGATCCCAGAGGCAACTCAGGGCAAACATCAACTTAAAGACTGACTCCCGCGTAAACCTACCTGAGACATTGACTGAAGGTTCCCCCTTGGCGAGAACTCAGATCGCAACAAATAATTCCAATAAAGTGGTGGTATGTTCTAAACAAGTTGACAAACAATCCAAACAACTGTTGCGCTAACGGGAAGGAGGAATTTTACAGTCTTGATTTACAAATGGCGATTTCCTTGGCTACAAGGCGATTCCACTTTACAGTGGGGTTGCGGCAAATAATTCTCACAATATAATATTCTTTTGTTCAAAAATTGAAAATGTACTTTAAATAATCTTCATAGTTTTGTTGCGTTGATTAATTTATTCGCTTCTATCTGCTGCTCGATACGGAAAAAGTTGTCGCCCCTCAGCTACCCATAAAGAAGTCGGATCATACCATTTGATGTTCATTTCCCTTTGTAGGGAAACGCATCAGTAATACATTCGGGTCCACCTCCACATTGTTATTTAATTTATTTGCTGCTGCCCTTTTTTTAAAAAAAATAGGGGGTCGCTATTTTTGTGAATTATAATATCTCAAGTATTTATTTTAGTTAGGCAATGGCTTCTAACAGGATGATTTTTTTTTCACTATTTGGACGTGTACATCACTATTTCGCAAAAGTCGCCAAACCGATTTAAAAAAAGTGGTTAATAATTTATATTAAAGCGGGAGTGTCGTCACCTGCGCAGGAATTGAGTCCCAAGTGATGATAACAACACATGCTAAGAACACAAAGGCTCATCATGGGTAGACGTTTGTTTGTAAACAATGACACGTTATGGCCATCTGACGGGGGTTGCTAAGTGGGTTAAGGGTGTGAAGCCTACCTCTCGTAAACATACTCACTTCTAAACTATTTTTTTTTTATTTATATACCCACTTCTAAACACAAGTGTTTTCAGCAAAAAAAAAACACCCAGCTCACAACTTTCGCAACCAGTGAGCGCACCCGGCAATGCATTTTATTCAGCTTTTTCCGGTATTTGGCTTTGAATATAAGAACCGGTAAAAAAGTAAATAAATGCTACACACTTCTAAACCAAAACATTGATAAATGACCACCCACTTCTAAACAAAATAACGTGAAATGGCACCCCAGTATACTCGTATTGCACTTCTATGCAAGTAAGCCCCCCCCCCCCCGGCCTGACGCATGCGTAGGTGACGACTCCCTCGCTTTAATAAAATAACTTCCTCAACTGAAGCCAGTTAATTTTTATAGGCATTGTTCAATCTGGTTACCGATAAAACTTCTGTACTTTACAAGAATTGAGGTACAAAGTACCCCAGCAGCCTCCTCTGCCGCCTGTTTTCTCAGCTAGTATATTTTTTTGGTAGCGATGTGCAGAAAACTGACGGAGACTGCTGGGGTATGTGCAAGGCCACATTTGATTATTATATTTTCAGTCAAGTTAGAGGGTCGTCAAGGGGTATTTTCGTAAGATGTAATCTATTGTTTTTATTTTCGTAATAATGTAACTTAAATAAATAAAAAATGTAAATTCCTAGACATGGGCAAGGTGTAAAATGTAATCAGCTAATTTATTCGTCCGTAATTTGTACAATGATCATATTTTTTGTAAGCGTATAAAGCATTTTCCACATTAAATGTTGCAATTCGTATGCATTTTCCAATTTTGATTCTTAAACACAAATGTAAAAGGGAATTTACTTTATTTGTATATTTTACTGTAAATGGAACTTTCATTTTATTTCCTGTAAAAACGTGAAATGCCTTTTTTATTTCCTATAACCTGTACCAGCCATTCACCCTTGACCCCCCGCAAGTTAATTTCATTAACCGGTAACAGTAACCTAACATTTGTTCCACCACTGTCGCGTCATGTCAGCAGTTTCATTTGTGACTTACAAGTCACATCTTTAGAACCCCAGTGAAATGTTACTGGTACAAATCAGTCCCTACAGGACTGGGGGATTGTGTACAAATATACCGCAACCATTTTAAGACTACCACCAGTTTGCAAAGATTTACTGTGGCAAAATAAAGCAGTTGACATATGTTGTACTTGCGTGCAGTTTGTCGCTGGATTTTTTTTTCAATGACTTCAATGCAAGGGACAACTCTGAATTGATCAAAAAAAAGATTTCCATAACTCACTTCCAGTTTTCAAATGGGTAACTAAACAAGCTTATCGCAATTTCATGGAAAAATGGAATTTTTAGAGAGTATAACTTACTTCATTTGGTATAGTACCTATGTTACCAAGAAACATTTAGGCAGATTAATACTCTACACAAAGGTCTTTGTTGAAGACACGATTCCATGATTGTCGCTACCACTCAGTATTACATGACCCCTAGGGAAATATTCACCGCTACAAACTTTTGCCATTTTCATGAAATAGTGAAGATTTTTCTTCTGGGAAATTAAAGAGTTTCACAGGATAGGCAGTCCATGGCATATGGTGGCCATTCATTTATTCTATTGCATAGTGCGTTATCAAACTTGAGATTAGGGCTAAATGTCAAAATCCTAATGTCGAAAACTGTGCACAGGTTTTCTATAAACCAATATTTTGCCGTTTTATTTATTACAAGATAAGCAACTTTTGAAATTAACACATCTGGTGGCCAATCACAATAGACTTATAAGAGATTCAAAAAAGTAAAATTCTAATGATGGTTAATTACTAGTATAATGCATTGATTGCAAAGTGTACAACCTGAAAATAAAATTTGGAAAATTCTTTGCAGCAACAAATTATACAATAAAATATACAAATGGCCACCATATTCCATAGATTATACGCTTACAAGAAAATATTAAAGCACCAGTCTCTGCATAGCATGCATCAAATTTTGTGTAAATAATCACAATTTACTTGTGTTGTCCAACATTGAACATGTGGCATGATTGACGACTTTGGCACTTTCAGCCAAACTGTTTCTGGTCAAATAAATTTATGTATTCATGTTCTTTTATATACATTATACAGTTTGCCGTTTGCTGAAGAATGACCACAATAACCTTTGATTTGTACATCAGTATCTTGGGAAAAACAACAAGATTTCTCTCATTTCCACCTCAGAGGGCGCACTTTAATTAAATTTGTCAATGAATAAAGTTGAACACTCATTGATCCCTTAAATCTTTGTGTCAATTGGCTGTCACAATGACAAGTTACAATTGTAGTAGTGTTTTGAAGCCAACTGTAACGTACAGGCTATTATGTATATAACTATTGCAGTACAGGAAGGGCAACTAACTTGTCAACTCATGAAATTCTAATTTTATTACAACTATACGAGGCAACTCATAATCTGAATACAACTACTGACTAGAGAAAAATTGACAAACACAGTCAGCAGACTAATTTTGGAAAATTAATTGATAATCAGGAAAACGATTCATTCCGTCATTTATGCAAGTACGAAATTGAGTAATTTAATTAATCCTTTTACTTTACTTTAAAGTACACAAATTTTGTGGTGGAGATGGTGGGAAAAAAATAGATTTATACAAGTCTTCAAATTAATACATATATAAATCCACATGTCCTGTAATATTTAGCAGTTTTATTTCATCTGGGCATTGTATGCAATTCAAGGCATAGCAGCTGAAAATGAAAATTAATTTGATATATGAACATTCTTTAGTATTGAACTTTTTGAATAGACTATTGTATCCAGTTTTTTTTATTATTCTGCAAACTTATTTTCCAATTTTCACAAGCCAGTTGATTCACATCGCATTGTAAAATGAAAAAAAAAATTATGTACGATTTTTAGACTTATAAATCTCGCCAAGTATTGTAGATGTAACACTGAAAGTAATTCCAGTCATCCCTAAAAATAATGGAGGAATCCAATTATAACACTAGGATCAGAAAAAATACTGACTAAACCATTAACAAGTGAGGGGTGCAGATATAATTCACAGGGGCTTGTTTTAAGAACTACCACTAAGGAATTCCTTGATCTTGTCAGAGTCGTTCTAACCACTTTTTGTTTAGGCGTATGTTTTCCAATGATGCTGAATAGTACGCTCAGCAGCAGGTGCAGAGTGAGCCGCAAAGAATGTCTCTACTTCCTTAGCTTTGTCTTCAGTTGCAAATCCTTCTGTGCAGTTCTGAAATAAAACAGAATACAAGTTAGGAAATATATCTGTCAGTGGATTTGCAACTCCAGTTTATTTTTCTCGTATGTTGAGAACAATCCAGTGATTTTAGATATTTAATAAAACACACATAATTTCTCACTTTTGTATTTTGAAGCAAAAAAAAAAAAAAATTGATTCCCTTTTCTTTTTACGAATTCAACAACACAAATTTTTGTTGAATCTATGTTTAACTGGAGAAATCTAGAACAATTCTATTTGGTCCTTGTGGTATTTTATTGAATATTTTGGGAGTACAAATTACTTTGAAAAGTATACCGCTACAAAATGCCATGATTTTCTCATGAAATTAAAGCATTTTATATAGAAAACGACTGACTTCATCCGTGATACTTCAGTTACACCCCACTAGGCTGATCTTACTTCTGGAAGTTGGCACATCCAATCAGACCTTGCTGATTTCAGAGAGCTCAGTTACACCCCACTAGGCTGATCTTACTTCTGGTAGTTGGCACATCCAATCAGACCTTGCTGATTTCAGAGAGCTCAGTTACACCCCACTAGGCTGATCTTACTTCTGGTAGTTGGCACATCCAATCAGACCTTGCTGATTTCAGAGAGCTCAGTTACACCCCACTAGGCTGATCTTACTTCTGGTAGTTGGCACATCCAATCAGACCTTGCTGATTTCAGAGAGCTCAGTTACACCCCACTAGGCTGATCTTACTTCTGGTAGTTGGCACATCCAATCAGACCTTGCTGATTTCAGAGAGCTCAGTTACACCCCACTAGGCTGATCTTACTTCTGGTAGTTGGCACATCCAATCAGACCTTGCTGATTTCAGAGAGCTCAGTTACACCCCACTAGGCTGATCTTACTTCTGGTAGTTGGCACATCCAATCAGACCTTGCTGATTTCAGAGAGCTCAGTTACACCCCACTAGGCTGATCTTACTTCTGGTAGTTGGCACATCCAATCAGACCTTGCTGATTTCAGAGAGCTCAGTTACACCCCACTAGGCTGATCTTACTTCTGGTAGTTGGCACATCCAATCAGACCTTGCTGATTTCAGAGAGCTCAGTTACACATTTTCACAGATGAAACTGTGCAAATTCATACAAAGCTGACAATACATTAATTTTGATGACAAATGATGTATGACAACCAACAACACATGGGATGGACGATGATGTTTATTACCAACGACTTCCAGCTGCAGGCTGGCTACCTCAGGGCTCTAGATCAGCAAGACAGTAAAGCATTTTTTTCATGCTTGAATTTTGCCAAATCTGTTCACATTTTCAGTAATTTTCAGCAAATTAAAAATTAATTTTGAAACAAACAGACAAAATGCAACATTGATTCTAGTTATTGCTAAAAAAAATTTGAAATTTTTGCATCACTTGTTGTGTTAAAGAGCAGAATATAAATAGAAATATTTTGTTGATGGTGTTGATATAATAAAGACATAATTTCTGTAGAGTTGTTAACATAAAAATATGAAAATACAAATACATATTATACCTTGACAAGTCGGGATAATAAAAACCCTCCTTCATAACGGCGATGAAGCACATCCCATTTCTCTTGTAAAAATTTCCACGCCATTTCTAGCCCGTCCTTGGAACCGACCACCCCTGTGAGAACAAACACCGTGTCTTGTGACCGAACCTCGTCCTGAAATACAAAGGAAAATGTACAAATAATAGATTGATTGATTCCCAGGAAAATTAAACATTAGGTCATAAAAATAATTTGTTACTCGCATTGGCTATTGTGGCGAATAAGGCAGCGCTAACATAGAAGATATTATATGACCAAATTATAACATCTCTGCTGAATTGTGACTGTACAATATATTGTTTGGAATGACAAATGGTATGTGTCACTGACTACTGTGTAGAAATTTTCATAAACAAATCACACACCATTACTAACCCAGCTTTATTGCATAACAACCAGCAGACTTACACTAAGTGAGAAATCCAGTACTTGTTTAATGAGTGCAGGCTCTTTCACAGCACCAAGGGCTCTCATGATTCGCTCTTTTTCTTCATGCAGTTCTTGTTCACGGAAAAACTGCAACGAATGAATATATTATATAGTGACTCATGTGCCCTCTTGGCTGACACAATGTGACTCAGAGATTTGCTGCAACACAACAAGTTATGCTAATTCACTGAATGACTATTACCACAACAGAAAATCATACATAGATATAATGATCTTGAAGAAAACCTCACTATAGTTACACAATTTATGATTTGGTAAAACAAAATTCTTGTGTAAAAATGAAGGAAATCTTTGGTCACAACACACTACTAACAGAGCAAATTGGTATCTGAACTAGTATTTTTGCGTCTGGTGTAAATTATGAACACTAGAAACGGAACTTACTTTCAATACTGCCTTAAATGTTTCTTCATCAGCGTGGGCCAATACAGAGTGATATACCTAAGAAGTATAATAAAAAATGTATGTATGTATGATGTATGCGATGGTGAAAAGCAGTACATTTTTCTTGGTCATGACTGAACTGTTTCAGCTGGTGATTTCAAACTTACCGAGCCTCTAAGATCTGCTGGAATGGTTTCTTTTCCACATGTATGGTCATTAAACTTAACTTTAGCTTTTGATACTGTGTCTGTATGGCTGAAACGACCCAGCCGGAGTAGCACCATACTTCTCAACAAGGAGTCCAGGTGACCTACAAGAAGTGGATGAGTAAATATCATTATTAATGCAGGAACATAAAACTTCAGATTTCATCTATTTATTTCATAAAAGATAAGGCCAGACTTTTATTATCCCTTGCGGCTGATCTGCACTGGCTCGGAAGATGAATTCTGATTGGCTAAAAAAACAAAAAAACTTGTGGCGTTGAATGCACGTTCATTGTCAGTATTGTTATGCAAATTCAAACTAGCTAATCATTTACAACCTTCCGCGCCAGTGCAGATTAGCCCATCCCTTGTTTTGCAAGCACACCGAATGAACAGGAGCCGAAAATGAAATAAAAATAACATTTTATTTCACCGTAATTTCTCGCACCCGCCAGCTTGTAAATGCAAAAAAAATTATTATTGTTATCTTCATTTTTTCCGCCCGCCGCATAACAAATCCAAGTTGCATTTTCATGGGAGCATCATGATCAAATTACTGAAGTCTCGCGCAGATCTATACTAGGCGTTGGTTGACAGTGAATCTCGGTTATTGACCTCTATGTGTGCTGCTTGAGACTACTTGGCGAACATGGCAGCGGCGTGGTTTGTGGTGACACGCCGCAAAACTCTGTCATCAAAAACAGAGAAATCCCTCATTAATGCTGAAAATTGTGCCACAATTGGCGAAATTACCAACCAGGTTATACATGGAATGAAATTTTATTTCATTTCCTTTCTCCAATCAAATGATCTCACTTACAATTCTTTGAGAATCACACAAATCTAATGTAAAAAAAAAATTATTTTATTTTTTTTATTTTTTTTTCCACTTTCTCAAAAAAATTAACTTTTAAAAACTTGAGAAACAAGGAATGAAAAAAGTCTGGCCTAAATTATACGACAAATTATTATTATTGTCGCAGATAAAATTTCTCAAGTAACTTGTGCTTTGTGAATTCCCTTTTATAGTAGTGAAATTTTAAGATTTACCAAACTTACCTGATCATACAATGTAAGCCCACCCTTCCATTTTTAGACATTTAACAAGTTGAAGGCATTCCCAATTAGAGACCCAGGGTGTTTTTACTGGGCTGTTGACATCATTTATTAAAATATGCATGTAAAAAAAGGGTATTTCATTGCAGATAAATTGTGATTGGTATGGTAGTTTGTTTCATGTTTCTATGAAAAAACTTGCATTAATTTCTGAGTGAATGGCACATAGTTCACACCCTTTGTATTCTGTTATTTACTTTTTGAGTGCTAGATTTCAAAATACCAAAAATGTGACCGCCAAGTTATGAAGCCTGGTCATTGGACATTGTTTTAATTACATTGTAAATAATCAAACAAATTCCTCAGTAAGACACATTATTTTGATTGTTAATCAAGGACTTGACCTGTTGAGACAAATTGTGTTGAAAAACAAGGTGGAAAAACATTGCTTTGCATTGAGAGTTTGCAGACGATTGATCAAAAACATCCCATCCCATCCCATCCCATCCCATCATGGTGACCGAAAGATCTCATTTGGATAATAGTTTGTGGCTGGTAAGTTGTTTACAATGTTAAACTCAAAAAAATCATCTTTTCTGAGGTGGTTCTCAAGTACAAGTCCATCCTTTACTTTCCCTGATTTTACATGTTGAGGCCCCTTGGCTTATGATCAGTGAAGTATGGTAATTAGAAAAAAAATTCTTAGTATGCACAATTCAGTGACAGCATTGAAAGCTTCATAATGGCAACCATTTTGGGGGCAAAACATAGTTTAGCAAAACTCTACATACTATACAATACCGACCAAATATGGGTGTTCATGTTTGAGTGCACAAACATCAATATTTGGAATATAATATCTTTATTACATGCCCCTCCAAAAAATCATATACAAAAAACCAGTCAAAATTTGTCCAGCACCTTGAACAGTCTGTACAAATGGTCAATACACTGTTTCTGGATGTTCCCAATCTTTTAATTTGCATGATTGAAGCCAAATATGCATGTGACATCACTGGGCAGAAATCAGCTTATGCAGTCAGTATTGAGAAATATGTGTCAGAGAACCAAAATGTGCTAAATGCTTTGAATGTCATAATTATTCTACCAATATTTTTCGCATTTTAATGAGTTTTTGTGTTAATTCTGGAAATAATTTAATACATAATGTTGAAAAAAATATTCAAAAAATAATCAGCAGCTTGATGCATCATATAGACTGGCACAGTTCGGGTGATTTCTTTCTTTTTAAAGTTAAATTAAATAAAAATATCGCAAAACGGAGGTGTTACTGGGTAACAAAAAAACCTGTAAATGTGAAATCACCCAGATTGGATGCAACTGCAATATTAGCCGGTATTGCAATTAAATCAACTTTCTTTAAAACTACTGTGTCTACATACTGTGTGCCTACATATCACTAACGGCTAATAAACTAATTTAAACCTAAAAACTACTACACTTCCTAAAAGAACTGGAAAGTACATTTTGCTTGGATGCTTAATGTCTGCAGACAAATGCGGAAATAGCTGACAAAATGACCTTTAACCTGACCCACAATGTTTACCTCATGTTTACCCCAATTCTATTTTTGTATTCATTCAGTGATGTCACTGCATATCCTGAATATCTAATAGCAATAGATAAGCTGCAAATAAAGACCAGTCTGTGGTGGTTTCATGCTCACCCCAAATTTCGCAAAACTATTATCTTTCCAAGTATTTTATTATTATAATTTAACTGAAAAAAAAATCACCATAGCTGTGCCAGTCTATGAATCAGTAGTTTGCACTGACAAACAACAAGTCTCCTGATTGGCTTAATGTTCAGGTGTTCAGATTGGTCAGCAAATCTGTGACAAGGTTACAAAACCCACCTTCTCCTTCTGCAGCCTCCCATCCCAGTTTATCAGCAATGGGAGATAGGAGATTTCTGCCGAACGCTTTCAGATTATCATGATAATCAGTATGTAGTAACAGGGCAGAAAGACTTCCCAAAGTGCTGCATATGTCATTCCACACAGTGTAGTTGGTTTCATTCTTGTATGCGTCTATTAAACGTAGAACTTCAACTGTGCTCACTTCCCCTGCTTTAGCCTGCAATAAGAAACGATATACCATGCATTGATACAAGCTCAGATTTGATTGGTTGAAAAATGTCACTAGCATGATTGGCTAAACTGAGATTTCTCAAACATGAGCAATCTTGTACAAAATCCTTTTCTAATACCGAATTCACTATTGAAGTATGGCAATGTGATTACTGTAAACTTTGAAAACTTCTCAAAATTCTTACTTCGGAATCGTTCATGAAAAACAACTTTGTATATGAAGACATTCAATCAAGACAAAGAAGTAAACTAAAATAGTGACAGATGTATAAACATGTTATGGTATTGATGATGTTGCAAGGGTGACAGTGATCAGGTGGTGAACATTCCTGGAATGCATAATAAATCACTGAAATTTTTTTGCAAAAAAGCACAGTTGAGGTGAAAGATACATGTAACTTACCAATGCAAACATGTCATTTATGAGTCCTAGTCTGTCTCTTGGTGGCAATGATTGGTCCTTAATAGACGGCAGTAACAAATCCAACATCTCTGGTGTATACTGTGTTCGGTAGAAACCGACAGTTCCTGGGTTCAACTAAAAATATGAGAAAACAGGTAAACTACAAATGTAAGAAGAATAATGCCTGTTGTCATACTGTGCCATGTTGATACTGGTCCCATTTTAAGTTTACAACGTGTGATAAATGTATCGTTTATCCAAAATATCAACTGCACAACAGCGCTCAAATTATCTAGTCAAACAAGAGTTTGATACTAAAGCCTTATAATGGCAACAAGGTTATATGGGACTCACCTTAATCCATTGGTCTGCGGATACATTTTCAATGGTAACTGTAGTTGATGGTTTGTCTAACATTATTTTGACAGCGGCTTTATTAGGATCTGCACTCGTACTGATGGAGATTGGAACCATCCACAGGGAATCACCTGAAAACCAAGCATGTCAATGACAAAAACAAAAATATGGAATTCATTGCAAGATGACCTTGTATCAAATTTATCAGCTTTAGAGAGAATTTATCAAAAAAAAACTCACATATAATTTTATCCAATTTCACATAACCTATTCCTAATATTTGTTAAGGAGGCAAAAGATGAAAGTAATATGTCGTGAACGAATATGACGACAAAAAAGATCTTCCGTCATATTTGACCATGAAAGAAACTGTGGTGAATATAGAAGCACATATACTAATAAAGTAGAATATTGAATCATTGTTGAAAATTGAATCATTAAAGAGTATACTTATTTTTACCATGAAAATACCTTTGTAATTTGCATAAGCACATGTGCTACCAATCGAGCAAATACTACACTAACAGATATAGTATAACAGGTTAAACTCCTGTTACCAGATACAATTGACAAAAAGTTGTAAATGGATTATAAAAACAAAAGGCATGGATTCTTTTGTTTTTATGGGACAATTTTGGTTTTCGGTTGTGCATTTTCTACATCATGCTGTGCATCGGTTGATACTCCCGCTGTACTGTCTTAGTGCATACTTTGCAGTATCCTCGTAATAACATATTAATTGTGTGACTTGTTATAACTATACAGTGTTATTTTTCTGCTAATCTAGGCATTAGGAAAGTTTGAGTCACTTGTGAATCAGATTCAGAAGAATGCCGCAGACATTGATCAAAGATTAATAGTGATGAATAATGCTGATTTATTCAGAGAACTATCAGTTATGTTTACAGATGTGCTGCCTAGTGCTAAGGTATGGTCTACCATAGGTTTTAAAATGGCAGATAATATGTACACTACATGATTGGAAATGCTTATTATGAACAATGCCATACCTCCAGCACTCCCATCAGCACAGAATTTTCTTTGCGTCAATGTCAACTCTCTGTTGTTTCCTTTCTGTTCAGCTGTAACTTTTATAACAGGGAAACCCATCTGCTTGGTCCATGTCGACATGACATCATTCACTGGTTTACCACTCGCTTTTCCAAGCGATTCCCACAGGTCTTCAGTGAATGTATTCTTATATTGATGCTTAGATAGGTAGTGATTCATCCCATTCTTGAAATCCTGAAAAGAAAGATATCTCACAATAATATCATTTAGAGTCTTTAATCTTCAACTTTTGAAATCCATTTTGACACAAAATCACGCCAACCCTAACCATATACCCCTAACAACACACCACATTAAACTATAGTATTCATCCAAAAAAATATTGGAATATTCCCTTTGCCCTGACAATATACTGGAATATTCCTTCAATCCCCATCTCCAACCTCATCACAGATACATTCATATAACAATCAAATCACTACACTACTTCATCTTTTCTCTACCCCAACAAGATATCAAAATCTCCAACCTCATCACAGATACATTCATATAACAATCAAATCACTACACTACTTCATCTTTTCTCTACCCCAACAAGATATCAAAATCTCCAACCTCATCACAGATACATTCATATAACAATCAAATCAACTGCACTACTTCACCTTTTCTCTACCCCAACAAGATATCAAAATCTCCAACCTTATCACAGATATATTCATATAACAATCAAATCACTACATTACTTCACCTTTTCTCTACCCCAACAAGATATCAAAATCTCCAACCTTATCACAGATATATTCATATAACAATCAAATCACTACACTACTTCACCTTTTCCCTACTCCAACAAGATATCTAAATCACTTACCTCATCACCGATATAGTCGTGTAACATTCGAATCACAGAAGCTCCTTTACTGTAAGATATTAAATCGAATATTTCGTCTACTTCGGATGGATGACCGACAGCAACCTATGAAATCAATCAAGGTAACAAAGAACAAGTCATTCATACTAAAATATCAAAATAAGACCATCTGATGTAAAAAGTTGCTGATATCTTGTTGAAAGTCAAATAGTGTTCCCCCCCCCCAGACCAAATTTCCCATTTTCTCCTGCTGAGCGAACCTCCTGTACCTCGCAAGTGCTTGAAAGCTACCTAATTCTGTTTTTCTCAATGGAACATACAAAGTGTGCTTATGCACAAGAGATAACTAGTTCCAAGATGAGTTTATGTGAAGCAATGGGTCTGAATTAGTTTTAATAGTGATTACAGAGTTCTTTGAGAAACAACTTGGAACTCAATTCACTACATGCTAATTTTTAGCCTTTGTACCTCAATAGGGTGACTGTTCTTCAATGCATCCAGCTCCAAGGCTCTGGTATAATCAGAAGTCACAAACTGAGTCCATATGTCATAATCTTTAAAACAGAAATCAACACACAGATACTCAATCCAGGAAGCAAAGCCTTCATTCAACCAGAGATGGGTCCACCATTCCTAGAGAGGCAATCATAAGTGAAAAACATGACATACTAGTCACTAGAAATTACTCCAAAAGCAAAACATTCTGTCTCAGCTGCAAAGTACTTTACATTAACTATCTGGCAATGGTAATGAATGCATCCAAAAATTCTCATGGCAATTGGATCTAGTGCTTGCCCACATAAACCCTATATAAAGGAGCTCATGAAAATCTGTCCAAAACTTTTTGAGTTATTCTGCTCATGAAAAACAAACCAATACTGGCAAAGACATTTTAATTTAGTTTTCTTAATAATTGAGATTTACTGTGAAGTTTGATTTTTGAGTCTATCACCCCCTTTTCTATTTTGTTCATTGTAGAATGTAGCTACAGTATAGGGGCTTAATTGTTATCTTGGTTTTATTTTCCCTTATTTACCTGGGTATCATATCTAAATAAACTAAAAACCTGTGAAAATTCAAATTTTAAAACAGAATGTATACAAGTCATGCAGTTACCTTCACAAACCAGTAAATTTAAACTGAGTAACTATTCCAATGATTGAATTAAACCTTGTGAATACATCTTGTACAATAATTGCATTACAATCATAAATATTATCTGACAAATTTATACATATATCTAATCATGAAAACTGTATTTGCAAATGTTGATATGTTGGAGCTGGTGGTATGGGAAAATTACAGAGAAGATATATTGATTGTTAAATAACAGCTTACCATGGTTACAAGATTACCAAACCATTGATGAGCTAACTCATGACCTGTAAAGAAAAATCAAATGATTTTTACTCGAAGCAGCAAAGAGAACTTTTCACGTGTAACCAGTACTAGTGTGCCCCAGTCAGTGTTCACATGAATGCTGAATGAATGCAAGGCTACTACCGGTACACAAGTTACTGTAAACCATTGTCACTGCTAGAATGATTTAATAGCTTTTACAAAGACATAACTTGTGACACTTGGTATCGCAGGAACCATGCTGAGTATACAATGCTACAAAATTTCAATGGTTTGTGAATATTTGTCCTATGACTAATTTAAAAATTCGTAGAAATAACATGTACACTTACCAACAACCAATGCCACCCATTGTTTGGCTGAGGCTGATGAGTTCTTAGGATCCACCAGTAAAGCTGTTTCTCTGAAAAGTATGTCATGTAATTACCTCACAATTTGTGTTCACTACCAGTTCCCTCATTTCACCACAAATTCACAAAATTGTGCCATTCATAATCTGCACTTTTTTTCAGAAGATTGTGATAAAAATAGTAATTTTTTTTGTAGTAAAAAACTGAAAACTGACTCAAATTTTGTCTGTTGGCTTCATAATTAGGTTTCCTTTTCAGAAATATTGAAGAAAATAGAAAAAGGGCAGAAACATTTTGGCAAGGAAGTCTGGTGGTGAAGAGGATATGGCAGTGTGACAAACTTATCATATTACAATTGTGGTAATACTATAAATGCTCAAACATTTCAATCTTTTCTGGCACCTAAATTAAAAATCAAATTTATTTTTTACATAGTTACTGATGTCTATTCAATACTACAATCTTTATCGTGACTAGGGTGAATCTGGTGAATGGTTAAATATAAAATGAAGTGTTAAATGGTTCTTCAATACTTCAAAAATTAATAATTTCCTGATTATAAAAGTCGTGCCTTTCCCCATCAAAATCAATGCCGAAAAATCGTACTAAAATCTCTGTTGTGTTCGTCAACCACTGATTAACATATTTGAACGAGTTATCATAATAGTAATTCAAATACTGTGGCACAATCCAGCTGCTGAGTGATCAGTTTAAAATCTGCTTAACCTATCAGCACAAAGATCAGTTTCAACTTGTGAATAAAAAAAAATACTGATGCTGTATCGCATCAAGCGTTTGTACTTGACCGAAAGCATTCTCTTATGACAAAACTAGTTTGAATTGTACGTGCAATTCATAACAAATTAATGAATTCACTTTTTGTGCATTATTTTAATCATGAACAAGTAATAATAAACATTTGCAACAATTCAAAAACATGTTATTCAGTTGTGAAACACAGTATGACTTACACTACCATGATCATTTGCTACCAACCAAGGCATTCATCTTTGTTTTTATTTGAAACTTCCTCTAAACTTTTTGTTACCAACGAAATTTAAACCAAAGCTTATTACATCAAAATCAAGTATTTTTTGTTATCGTGTGAAAATACCACATGATAACATAACAAACTATGACAGTTTGTGATGCCCAATTTCAGAACCAAATTAAGGACTTCTACTTTTCCCTGTTGCCTAAATTTGATTATTTATGGTATATGAGGTTAAAGTTGCATTCCTATTTAGTAAATTTACCTGTACGTAACCAAACCCCAGTTTTCCATTGCTCCAGCAGCAAAATCTGGAATAGCTATCAGATCAATCTTTGGCAGAGGATACGCGATGTCAAAGTAATCTTTGTAGAATGGCAGAGTCTTTACAGCCACCTATAAGTATACATCAATCACATTTTAGCTATAGTTGACGTAAGTATCGATACTGTAGGATTATCACCTGATATCACTTATTTGTAAAACTCCTTGATACAAGACATCATCAAGACATCATGGGCTAGTAATATCCACAAACTGAAGGTAATAATGTCACAAGTATCAACCACCCGTACGAATAAGTACCGTACTCGACCGCGTTAGCGCCCAGGGGCCTCAACTCAGAAAATCACGATTTTGTAGGGGTGGGCGCTTACCCGAGCACCCCCCTCGAAAAAGAGTGTAAATGAAAATTTTGATTCATCAAGTGACAGATTACGTCTTTGAGGGAAAATCAAATTACTAAATTAGTTGCGTCGTCATTGATTTTCACAATGAAGAAACAGAAATGATCACAAAAAATACG